GTTTTCTCGATTCTAATGAGCACCCGATTTCCAATATGTTAAAACCTGAAAATTTTAATACATTTAAACAGTAATAAACGCATTTAAAAAAAGATTTATTTTCATGTTTACAGTGCTTCACGATTTATGAAATGAATGTATTCATTTCATGAATCCGTCAGTTAGAGAGAGTCTGCAATCCAATATAAAATCAGTCAAAATTATATTACGATCAATGTTTTAACAGCGAGATTTAATGCTTTGATATGCATAAGCCCGAAATTTACCTATTATGTAGTATCACAATGAAATAACTGTATACATCTTCTTCAGCGTAGTGTATAGCTCCCTGCTTAAACACTACTTTATAGATTTGTCTCGTTCACTCCAGTTTGCTGTAGTTCAAAATACCATCAAACCGTTACCAAAGAAAAACCAAAGTCAGAAGGACGTGTACCATGTCTATATAGGTGTAATACACGCGAATTGCAAACGACGCTGCATTAAATCTACTTTGTGTCTAATTTTAATGCACATCCCAATCTTTGAGATCAGAAAAATTTAAAATAAAAGGTGCTTATTAGAATCGAGAAAATACGATATATTCTTTCCTATAACAAATTTCTTTCAGGCGATACAAATTATTTTGAGTTTAGTGACACATTAAACCTAAAAAACAATTATTCAATTGATACATTTATTTGCTCTAAATAAAGATATAAGCTTAGTTTATAACTAATAAAATTTATCAAAACCAATTCGGTACATTTTCAATAACTTCAAATAACTTGTTATTCTTTGAAAGATGCCAGTAGAAGATAAATTCTTTATTGAATATTGCTTGTAGTAAAATTTAAAGGACTAACTTTGAATTTTCAGTTGATTTTATTTCTAAATAAAATAAAAGAAATAGTGTATTAGAAAGTTATTTTTCAAATCTTATCTTCCGTACTAGATTTAAACTTGGCAATCTGATAATTTAAATTCGTCTAGAATCGAATGAAGATAAAGAAAAGTAATTTTTAGTGAAGGTAAAATTGGATTCCAAAAATGAAATGTCAAATCTAAATTTTATGTTGAATAATATACTTTATGTCAGAATGCAGGATAAGAGATTAATAAGGAGACAGGTTAAGATATTTTAAATAACGATGACAAACTGAATTATATGAAGAAACTTTCTTTCCTTAGAATTAATTATATACTATAATAATAAATATTCAAAATTTACTTTAAAATACTTTTTATTTGTGTAGAACAAATAAAGAAGGCAAAAAATTGTGGAAAACAAGCTCCAAATTTTAAATACTAAAATGTTCTAAAATAATTTCAAAAATTAAACTTTGAAAGGGTAAAGAAATTCTAAAACATTTAATTTTTCAAATTGTTCTAGAACATGTATTTAAAATTCTGAACCTAAATAAAGCAAAAAAAGTGTCGAAAAATCGTTGTTCCATATAAGTAAAACAGTTTCTTGGGATAAATAGTCGTTTTTATTGTTATTATTGCTTGGGAAATGTTCCCATATAAGAAAAATGCAACAATTTGTTGAAAAATTAAAAGTTCAAACTGAATTCAAAACAAACTCCTATACTGATTCTTCAAGAATTAGATGTCTCGATATTTTATCTAAAATGTTTCATTATATTTTAAGTGATTAATATAGTCTATATATGTAATGGCAAACCTTTTCCGAAGACGAACCAAAACTAAATTCGAAATTTACTAACTGCAAATCGCGAATCAAATATTTAATTTGATTAATTATAAAATAGCAAAAAGCTGTTTACGAATTTTATTGGTCTTTTTAATACTGTATATATCATAAACTCTATATAAATGAAAACAAATAATAGCGTGATTATAATGAAACAAATAACAACATTTCATTTAACAAGAAATCAGCAGTTTATTTGATGATAATTTTCTTATCTGTGGTTAATAATCAGTGACCTTAAAGACTTCTCGACAGCTTTAGGACCCCGCTTTCACATTACATATGCAAAATTTTTAAACCTATCAAATATTTTATAATACTGTATATATAAAAACCTAATACTTTCTATCAATAATACAGTTTAGAAGCCAGAACAGTAACATTCACTGGTCTATAATATATATAATAAAAACTGCAGTAATTAAATATTTTACAATACTAGTATGCCATAATCCCCAAGATATCAATGCGTTTCCTGATTGAATAGTAATTTGAAAATTGCTATTTTTGCATTATCAAATTTCAAAATAAGTACAGAGCAATATTAATACATGGTAAAATTACGTTAGTATTTCATTAGTATTTCATATGCAATTATTCTGGAGAAAATATTCTATCATTTATTATTATAATAACATTTAGATATAGCTGTAAATCGTTTATCACATTTCTATTAGCGAATAATTATTTATCATATTCTATAAATTTTAAAATTTGATAGTTTATCGACAGATAATTTAAACCTGTAATTTATTGTGACATAGTCATAATGCCAGGCTGCAATTTTTAAACATATTTTTAATTTATTTGATTTGAAATATATGTTCTCCACCTCAAATTAGTACTGTAGTGTCTTGCCACTACTTTGATAATAGAGTCGTGTCGGTCATCTATCTAACACCTTTAAGGGGAAAATTTTTGAATTAAAATATGACTTCCTGTCTGTATCGCAAATTCATATACAGTTAATCGGAGCCTCCTGCCCCTAAGGTTTCCATATCTGGTCTCACCTTTCATCTATCTAACTCCGTTCTCGAGATTAAGGAAGGGCAGACGGACGGACAGACGACAGTGGGAATTTATGTCTACAATTTTTTCAAATCGCTGCCATATCACAAGAGTAAAAATTTCGAAATTATTCAAATTATAATAAACAGGGTTACATCTAACACTTGAAGAAAAGATACATAGAGAACATCTAACACTTGTTTAAAAAGATAAAGACTAGTAAATAGGAAAAAAGATATGTCAAAAACTAAAAAATATACATATGAAAAGAATGTTTATTTTATAATCCATTATTCATCGTAAAAATTAAATTTTAGCATTTTTTACGTTATTTTTATTTCCATTATAGATATTACTCTAAATTATTTTTCAAACGAAATATATATAATTCGAAGTTAATATATTAATTTAAAGCGCCGAATTTACTTCAAATTATTTCTCTTAGCAAATGTCGACCTAACAAAGTTTCGTTACAAATATTAATTATAAATCAGCAAGACATTTTGAAATGTTATGGCCTTAAATTATGATAAATTAATAAATTATTTATATTATATAACCGTAAATTTAAGTTTTCAACTGAACTAATTTGTTAATTAACAAATTGACAGTTACTTGATCCTTTAATAGCTGATTTTCATTCACTGTTATGGAAACAATTGCAGTCTGAAGAGTGAATTATCCCTTTATATTAAGTTTCTAATAAAGTAATTTAATTTTACTATAATCTGTTCATCACACAGTCAACAATAAAATAATATTAAATAATTTCAAGCTAAATTATTATTCTACAGGTGATTATTTTTTAAAAAGTTATACAAGAATTTTTTTTTAAAGTTAATTTTAATAAAAAATCTTTTTGTTAATTCTGAACTTTTAACTATTTTTTTAAAATAAAATTACATTTTCACTCAAGAGTAAATATTTTTTAAACTCAAAAAATTAATTAATTACAATATTTTATTACTTAATTTAAATACAAAATTCGTTGATAGAGTTTGTAGCTAAATAAATTAATGATTCAAATTCAGATAATAAATTTAAATTTTTATTTATTCATATTTGAAAATTTTAAATTATAATAGCTATAATAAATGATAAATATTTTATATCGGTTTTAATACTCATAAAAGATACACTATCTAATTCTTAATGTTTTAATTTTAGCATCTAATTATAATTAATTATTCATATTTACCCATTTACTTACTTAGGAATTTTTTAATCATTAAAAAAGCACACTTTTTTTATAATAATTAAATGAATATTTATTATTGTTTTTATTTCTTTTTGTTATATTTATAATTATATAATATTTAGCCTAAATAATTTGTGATTTCGGTTTTTAATTTATACCAATTTTTTATTCTAAATTAAATCAAATATATTAAATTACTTTTATTTTTAATTTGCATTTATTAATATATAATAAAATAAAACTTTCAAGTAAAAAATTTTCAAAAATATAAATACGTTCTTTTACTTAAATATTTAGAACACATCTAAAATTTAAAGAAAATAAATTATTAACTTAAATAGAATATTTAAAGTTTTTAATACTTAGCATAAGCTACAAAGTTTAAATCAAGATAAAAGTTAAGACCTTGATTTATTATTTATTAAATTTTAAACATTTCAACGATATACACACGAAAAAAAATGCTATAATGATAATTCTATGTTAAAATTAAAATTTTCCAATAATTTCTGTCACCTTTTCTTGTTAATGTCTAAGTATATTTGGCAAATGTCAAAATGATTAACTGAACAGGAAATAAAATTAAAAGTTTCTTAATTAACATTCTGCTTAACCTAATTGTTTTATATATTATTAATTGGTTGTTCAATCGAATTAAAATTTAAAATTACTTGCATTTTCTAAATTAAGAAATTTCTTTTAAAAATGAAGGAATTTTTGTTTTATTATTATTATTTTCTTTTTTAACTGTCCTATTTTATATAGGTTTTGAATGCTATCCAGTTTCTGCATTGTGAATTACATTATTTTAATGTTTTTTCCCCCTTCTTTTTTTTTATTTAGCTTAATGTTATTACAAATTATAAAGCCATAATATGAAGGAAATTCATTAAGAAACTCGTAACTTCAATAATCATTTAATCATAAAGAATCAACAGTTTGTGCTAGAAGATGAAGATGGAGAGCCGCGTTATTTATAGATTAACAATTTTTCTTTAGTTATTTGTCATTTTCAATAATGGTAATGTATTTATCAAGTTAAAAGAAACGAAAAATGCAATCAACAATACCAAGATGGCGACTTAAATAATCACTTACCTCCAAATCGTTGTACATCGACATTGTTTGTTCCTTTAGACTTGTAAGACATTTTATCTGTTGGCCTTTAGCATTTACATAAAGCCTATAATAATACTAGAGCTAGGCAACCGCTTGCAGTCGTCCAAACATAGAGAGCTACGCTAACAACAACCTTCCTCTTTCACTGGATCTCTTCCTTTAATATCACAATTGGGAATCATAACGGCCGGTTGTCTAGGTGACAACTCCTATCCGATTGGTTGATTGATCGGTGACGTATACGACTTTTAATACTTCTTATCTATCAATATGAAATTTATTTAAAAGCGAAATAAAAAAAGAAAAAACGTTTACATCACGCTGATTTTCGAAATTATATTAAAATTAACCGTTAAAAACTTTTATATCGATTAATAATTTTAATATATATTTAAGTGAAACCGTTATATAAGAATTTCTAACCCGTCATCTAGTGGCAGAAGTTGGCATTAATTTTTATAATTGGTCAATTAATCTTATTTCTTTTTCCGTTTTTTTTTTAATTAAGAAAAATTAATTATAAATTGTAGATATTTTTTAAATTTATTTGGAATTTAAATTATCTAGTAAAATAAAAATATTTATGTTATCAAATTTTTAAAATATCGTGTTGAACGTCATGCGAAAATAAAATAAAAATAATGTTTAAATTTCTGATATATTATTTAAGAAAAAATATGTAAGAAATTCTCTGCGAGGTTAATAACATTCTGCTAATTAATTCATATTTATTAAAGGAGAAATATCTAGGGAAAAATGCAATCTGTTTGGATTATACGGTCAATAATCTTACAACAAAACAAGTATATATAATTAAATATAATTTTTTTTTCTTATAACACAAGAGGAATTAAATATAGCATCTAAAAACACATTTTCTGTTTTTATAAATGACAGAAAAAAAATGTTTTAATTAATTATATTACATTCGGTATCATAAAATCCATTTAAAATTATAAAATAAAATATATGTTTTATTGGAATACATTTAGTTAATTTATATAAAAGATAACTTGATAAATTTATAGATTAAAAGTGATGATTGAAAAAAGAAGATTTTATTCTATTTATAGAATTTTTCTGTTCGGTATAACATACCTTGTCATGTTTTCTTCCATCTGTCATCGATTATTGTTTCCTTGGTTTGGTAACGTTTATCCATGAGTTAGTTTTCGTTTATTTTGTACATATATATTTACTCTCATCTGTAATTTATTTAAAATAATTATTAACAAAACTAGCGATTTTAAAATAAAACATATTAATTTTTTTTCTAAATTGTAAATCCTTTATTAAAAATGTATCATTAAAACACAAAGAAACATCGCTTTCTTCATTTAAAGCAAACTAATGTGAAATAGTTCAAATTAACTTCGTTAACATTTTGAATATATATAAATAATTCATTAAATCAAAATTATTTGTATAAATATTTGAAATACATTAAATTTTGTCGTAATGAAAAATATTCAAATATTTTCTGTTCATTATCTTGTTCTTGTATGTTTATAGTACTCTTTGCGTATTAAAATCATTATGTTCATGTGCACGTCATTTAGAATTTTTATGAATTTCATAGTTCAATTCAAAAATTGTATAGTTGTTTAATGTTGGGAGATGTCCAAAATACTTGAATGATGAATGTCTATTATATATTGTTAAAAACATCTGACGTCACATTTGGCGTCAGTTACGGTCCTTGGCCCAAAACAATTTACGATTAGAAAGAATTCATAAATCCTTTTGTATTTCTAAAGAGTAGATTTCTACAAACTTGTTCTTTATTTATAGTACAAGCTATCGTTCGAATTTATAAATTATCCTTTAGAAAATCGTTATAGATAAATACTTCCACGTTTCTTATAATTGATCAAAATAATATTACTGAAAATATATAGTTCACTAGTTTACTTTATATAATATTCTAAAGGGATAATTAATTAAATAATTAACAGAAATGAATTATGTAATTTATAGTTCATACGTATTTAATTCTAACGCTATATGATGATGTACAGTACATGAGTGAATAATTACTATTTAATGGAATTAATTAATTTGGCAAGCTTTATCATTAGAAAATAAATATAATGTAATAATTTAATGAAGACATATTATTTATGTTAATGTTATTTTTCATTATAACATGCTTTTATTAAATATTACATAACATAATAACGTTTAAATGTCATTATTTTGCAAGAATGTGCATATTTTATTTCTTTATTCTTATACTTATTTCTACAAAAGTTTAAAATTCAAAATAATAAATTTATAGACAATATTTTGCTACTTTATATAACATTTTAATTCTTCATTGTATATTAATCAATTGTCTATTTGTATTTTATTTTATCAATGATTCAATCTCTTATGTTTTTCTTGTAGTGTTATCCAATTTCTTTTTATTATTGTAGTATCCAGTATTATTCAATTTAGTACTTTTTACAATTAATTTAATCAATCAGAATAATAAATAAAAATTGTGAATATTTAATAAACCTATTAAAATATATATATAATGTTATATATAACATTAGCATTAACATATAGCATTAACATGTATATATTATATATATATATATATATAGAGAGAGAGAGAGAGAGAGTAGATATAGAGAGAAATTCTTGAAAATTATTAAGGAAATAACATAAAAATTTCATACAGAAATGATTTTTTTATTGAATATCTTGAAAAAATTTCATTTAGAAGGGCAGGATATCTATAAACAACTGTAACACACTCTAAATTCAATGATAAAGAAAAGATAACTAAATAAATTCAAACTAGATAGTGAAATAATTTTAATAAAAATGTTTTTCAATAAAAATATATCTGTTTTTATTGATAAATTATTGATTGATTATTTGTTGTTTTACAAATACTTATAACAATGTAACAAAAACCTTAGCTTTAGATTTATAAAAAAAAAATTAGCTTTAAAAACAGAATTAAAATTGTCTGAATTAAAAATACATGGAAATTGATGACAAACGCAAATAAAAAAAGGAGTCTTCTTTAATGTTCGTCATTATCACATGAACCTAATTAAAACATTAGCTAGTTGATCTTTTATAGATATAGATTTTTTTTATTTAAAAAGAGCGAAAAAAAATTTTTTTTAAGTGGTAAGGAAAGTAATTTTTATAGGGGAGATCGGGGCAAGATCGGCATGTTAAGCTTTACTTAAATTTTGTGTAATAAATACTGCTGTAAACTGAAAAAAAAAATTTGCATATTGTCTATTGGAATGTTACCTTACTATAGAACTGGTTAAAATCAGTTTGGAAATAAAAATAATTAAAATAATTACAACTTTACAAGAAGAGAGAAATTGACGAAGTTGCCCCGGGTATAGGGGCAAGATCGGCAACTTCTCTCTTTTTGTAAAGTTGTAATTATTTTAATTATTTTTATTAAAGTTGCCCCTGGTATAGGGGCAACAGTAATGGGGCAAGATAGGCACGTATATAAAATTATGTTATTAACAATGTATAAGTTGGAATTCACTATTAAAACAAAGAAATACAAATCCAACACCCATTTAATATTATTACAACGAAATGCAAGTTCAAAGACATATATACATGAATAACAAATGCAAACATGTTTTCATTTATCATCTGTTTGATTTTTATCCTTTGCTTCTAATGTGGCTTTATGTTGCCGATCTTACCCCGCTAGTCATGATTTCGAAACATTAAGTACAACCCTGAGAACAGAATGCCAAGCCACGATCTGGCCACGTGAATAAGTTGAAGTTACATCCTTCTAACAGGAAAAGTAACTTTCGTTATCATGGAATTATAACAAAACCTGCCAATTCAATATAAATGGAAAAAAAATATTATATGGAATTGAACGAAAATGAAAATTTGCTTGATAATTCAACTACGCTTGTTGGAGAACAATAAAAACACTACACTCAACAAGCCACCAATAAAACTCAACTGCCTAACCTATAACCAAAGTCTCCTTTTAATTTGTTTTTTAAAAAAAGCGCTTGACAAACTTGCCCCGCATGCCGAAGTTGCCCCGATCTCCCCTATATTTTGAGCCATTTTTTCTTACTTTTATAAAAGATGTTAACGCAGTTTTTACATATTTTGGGAGAGAATAAATTACAAAACCACTAATATTTAATTAATAATTGTAGTTTGAATTAAAATTAAAATAGATTTGGTTTTGAATTTGAAGTTTTTTCCTGTTTTTCTCTGCCGTGTTAAAATCCGAACTGATACACTATTATTAACAAAATTGATCCTTTCAAATTTTAATCTAAAATTGTTTAATCTAATGTAATTTTATCAATTTTTTTTAGAATTAATATCTAACCAAACTGTTATGAAAATGTTGAAAGTTTTGTTGCTATTCGTGATGTAAATTAACTGTATTTTTATTTTACTGTATTAATTGTCCGGACGTTTAAATAACATCGTCGATTACAATTTTTATCTTAATTATTAATTGCTACCAAATGGTGATGTCGCAAAGGTACTAGTTGTATTGACTTTGACATTACATAAATGTAACATCAAATAATCTATAAATTTTTCGTATGAATTGACATTTAACAATATTTATATTCCGTTCTTTATGGAAATATACCACTTAACATATATTACAAATAGTGTATTTATTTACTTTTTTAAAATAAAATGTTTACTCATTGTTTACTCCCCAAAAAATGTTTACTCGTTAAAATTTATTAATTATTTTTTTATAATTTAGACGGAAGATAATAAACATATAATTTTTTATTAATTTTATAACATGCATTTACTGCTTTTGTTAATTGCAACTGAAAAATTATAATAATATTATGATAGACGAACGATTCGTGGAAACAATTTAATTAGGTTAAGAAATTAATTAGAAATTAACACAATGAATAATTTGTAATGCCACACGTTAAAATTTTATTTATTTATTTTTTTTTAATTTTTTTTTCTTTTTAGAGTCCCTGTTTTATTCTTTTTTAAATTTTTTACATTAAATGAACCTTAGCTTGTTGAAAGTTAAAGAATTGACTTCTTCCAGACATCATTGTCGATCTGTATGTACAATATATTGGGGGTTGGGTCAATAATAATGAGTAAAACAAAATTATTTTACTATGGTATATATATATTAGAAGGGAACAATTTTCTGGTGCAAAAATATTGGTGGGGATATGTGTCCTCTGTCCCTCATGAATAAAGGAAGCGTTTTTTCCCC